ATATTTACAATTCAGTACCAAAACAATAAACTAATTCTGAATGGTAAGATGGAGGTTGGAGAATTTGTTAGATATAATATCTAACAAATTCTGCTTGCAAAACATCAAAACATATTATGCTTGCAACAGAAATTTTTATTGCTTTTTCTAAGTGATAGGATGATGCCGATTTCATATCAAGAATTATAATGATTATTTTTTTAAATATCAAAAATAAACATCTGTTAGTTCATATTGATAGATTATTAACAAAGTCATCTCAAAATGATAGAATATGTTCACATAATTTCTAGACTAATTTGTATAAACCTACAATATTTTTGTAGCAGAGAACCAACCACTAGTAGACCGTTGATTGCAATCTTCCACACGGTGTGTAGTACTGATAGATATTTTTAAGCACTGAAGATAAGATAGTCAGATCTTACCTGCTATACTTAATAAGCAAATTATCATTTGTCATGAAGAAGGTAAGATAGAATATTGTAGTAAAAGAATTAGGTACTTACATTTCAAGGGAGTGTATCTAAAGTTATTTCAGAAAATAGACAAAATAGATGTGTCAGGACCTGTTAATGAGAGAGGTCATCCTCACATCACAATGGCAAGAGGAGCTAGAATTTTGAATTTCTTTATCAGAACAACATTTTAGTATTAACTTATAATGGATTACAGCATCTTAGGGAAGGAAAAGATATTTTCATTAGTAGATCATCTGTTTGTAGAAGATTACAGGAGCTTGAAACTGGTTTACAGTACCCAGAAGAAGCCATTGCTAAATGCTATACAATCAAGGCATCATGTGGAATGGCCAAAGAGTACATCAGAAAACCTTTAGAATTTTGTTTTCAGTGATGAGAACATGCTCCATATACCAGTTGGTGAACATGGTCGTGTCTGGAGAAAATAGGAGAGGAGTATAAAGCAGACAGTTAAACACCCAGCAGGTTGTATGACTTCCAAAGATATGGGAGATATTTCTGAACAGCTGGATGGATTCAATGATGTATTAGACTATTCTAAAAATTGTACTATTGCCTTCTGTGGAGGACCGCTTTCAGGATAACCCATTTGTTTTCCTACACAATCATGCACCTGCTCACAATTCTGGAAGTACCAAAACCCGGATACAAAACATGAGCATTAATTTTTTCCAGGTAACTCACCTGACCAATAGAAATAGTTTGATTGGATATGAAGAAAGCAATTTGGAAGCTAAAATCTCTGCCAAGAACAAAAGATGATCTTCAGGTCATGTTCTTAACAATTTATTTTGTTCAGAAATGCCACATTGTGCAGGCATAGAATGCACCATGTCAGTCATCAGAAGTAAAGGTCATTCAGTGAAAAACTAATTGTATGTAGATGACCTTACAAGTACAATATTCTATCATTTTGGGACAATGTGGTTGATATTCTGACTTTATGAGACAAACAGTTTTATCATTTTTTTTTGTTAAATATGAAAATTCATTGTCATCAATATGTTTGTTTACTCATTAATGTCCTCTAGCTTAAAACAAACAAAAATATCTCTGACATTTAGGATTGGGTTCAAAATGTATAAACTGAAAACAAAATTTTGATAAGATATTTTACAATTTTATCATTTATGATATAAAAAGGTTTTTGTTTATTATTATATTCATCTATTTATTAGCTGTATAGAAATAATTGGAATAATAATTCAAAAAGTTTCAAACTTTAAAACTGAGTAAATTTCAATTATTTTAAAAATTACTTTTAATAAGTATTAATTTGTTGTCTAAGTAAAGCTGCTGTTACTTGTAAATATAATAAAAATTATAACTTAATATAGAAAGGTAAATTCTGTAACTCAAACTAGGTATATTTAATTAGGTACTACATGTAAAACCAGTGCCCAGTAGGAACTACAGAAATCTACAAAAGCAAACTTTTCATCTGTGTTAAATGGTTATTGTCAGGCTAAACTCCATTCGAACTGCAAAAGTTCGAAAGGAACCTTTGCAGTTCGAATGGAGCTGTTAAAACAAACAGTTTGAAAAGAAAAATTTCTCAGGAGGTTTGCCACCCTTTTGCATGTGGTGTTTGCCATCCACATGCAAAAGGGGGGCAATGTAAGAGAGAGAGGGGAAATGGTTGCAAGACTAAATGTCATAGAATGATTCCCATGCAGGGGGGATGGAGTCTACCTCTAAAATAGTCACATGTGCCTTTGTAAATTTCTAACTGTTCTAAATATTTAACCTTGTTGTTGGTGCGATGTACTGATAGGATGGTCTGACCTCATTACACCTCCCACAAGGAATGGCTTAAATATTTAGAACAGTTAGAAATTTACAAAGGCACTAGAATAAATGTGGCTATTAATTTTAGAGGTAGACTCCATCCCCCTTCATGGGAATCATTCTATGACATTTAGTCTTGCAACCATTTCCCCTCTCTCTTACATTGACCCCCTTTTGCATGTGGATGGCAAACACCAATCCTGAGAAATTTTTCTTTTCAAACTGTTTGTTTTAACAGCTTTATTCGAACTGGAAAAGTCTTTTAGTCTGACTATGACCATTTAACACAGGTGAAAGCATTTACTTTTCTAGATTTTTGTAGTTTCTACTGGATATTGGTTTTGTGTTTAGTGCTTATGGAAAGATGCTTTTTAATTTTATTCTTATTTTTTACTTTTTGTTTCATTTTATAAATATTGATATATACTTAAGATTTTTCTTTTTCTTAAAGGAGGTTGAGAACAACAGACTTTATTTGGATCCTTTATATTCTTCAGATCCAGAAACATGTTTAAATGCTGTCATGTAAGCTATTGAATTAATTTGTTATGTATTTTTTAGTAAATATTAAAGTTTGCTTTAACATTACTACTAAATTACTATTCAAAAAATATTACTACTATGAATAAGCTGATGGCATTTAATGCTATTGTGTGAAATCATATCATAGATTACATTATTAGATCATATTGCTGAAAATTAATTTATAATTAATCTTTAGGATAAACTATTAGAATAATGAATTTGCTGTAATAGTATAAAATTTTGTTATTGTTAGATAATGCCATTTAATGTGTGGTGTATTTACTACAATCGATTCCCTTATAAGACGGTAGATACGTTCTGTTCTTTATGAATCAATTTTGTGGGAATCACAGCCAATCACAGCCTGACATGTGTGAAGTTTACGGACTACGGCTGTTTGAAAGGTTTTCTTCCATAAAATTAATTGATTCTAGACTAATCCGACTCAACATTTCCAAAATACATATATTTTTTTTTTGGAAATAATCCGTATAAACTACGCTATAAACAAAAAATTGTAGGATTACTTACCGAGTGTGCACCATTTGACATCGCCGTTGCTCAAGCTTGTTTTCGTTGCAGAATAGCACAGCAAACCGCAGCCGCGATTTCTGATGTTATTTTTCTGCGAAAACTTCGTTGAACCTTGGAGACATCATTAATATAAATAATTTTAATCGCCGTTGAATAAGAAATGTTTCTTTCACAAGAAATATATAAAATTATAGTACTGTATTAGACTTACGGTACCTAATTTACATACTGTACAGACAATAGCTTGCCTAAACTCTCCGTAGCGTGGCGCTGGACGGCGGAAAGTAGTTCGGCTGCCCGATGACGTTTTACGTAATTATAGGAGTTTTTTTACCGTTGTTTACGGATACCGCCACAATTTTTCGCCGTCTTATAGGAATCGTAATTATAGGAACCGTCTTATAGGGGGATCTACTGTATATCAAGATGGATACAAACTACATGTGAATGGTCTCTCATAAAAGTTTCAAGAATATACTATACAGATGTCCCTAATTTATGACAGCTTTATTCCAGAATGCCTGCCATAAGTCAAGCATACACAATAAATGGTGGTAATGGTGTATTGTTTCTAAAACTTGCACATAAGAATACATTATTTATTTATTCATTCATTCATTACATAAGTAAAGTTTGCAAGAAACTGAAGATGTCTTCTCAGTACAACAAAAATAATAATTGGCTCAATAAAAACTAAAATCAAAATATAAAATATGAACATATAAAGAAATTACTAAAATAACAATTATACAAAATTAAAAAATATAGATGAAGATTACAAATGGCTTTAAAATGATTAACACATTGACTGTCAACTACAAATCATCTTGTAGTTAGCAAATGAACAATAAGTGTCATCTATGAGATAACTTGTATAATGTTTTCTGTCTTGTTTTGCCAGTTATGACTATTCCCATAGTAAGTATTTGTTATAACTGATTAGGGCACTGGGAATGACACCAACAGATTGATTGGGCATAACAGAACAAACTATAAAGAATTTTACAATGTGATACAAGTTTTCTGTTTTGATTGCCAGATATGAATATTTGCATAGTAAATATACTACCAATTATAGATAATACTATTATTATACTACTAATATAGATGAGTTTAATATGTTTATTTAAAATTATTGGAAATTTTATATTCAATTAATATTTAAATGCATAATTGATTTTCAAGTATACAATTTATTTTTTGGAAAAGATAGTGAAAAAATTTTTAAGTTTTATGTATGTATTTGTTAATACTTTTTAAACAAATAAAATATAATTTTTAGATATTTTGCATTATTTGTAAAAACAAACTTAATGAAAATATTTGATTTGATATTTAGTTTATGTTGTATTTAGTTTATAATAAATTGTGTTAACTTTTTAATTTATTATAAATTATGACAGTTTTTGGTACTTACTTTCTATTATAAGATTTTACACAAAGTTAGTTGAAAAATTCTACCTAAAAGTATTTATATTTAATAGTCTGCTATCAATTTATATAGTCAATATAAGAAAAAAATTTGTAAATTGTAATATAAATATTTATATTATGTACTTATTGTACATAATATAAATATTTATATTACATAATTTATTACACAGTATTAAAAGTATTACAGTATAAAAGTATTACATAATTTGTATAATTCATACATACATTTTTTTATAGACAATTGAAAAACTCAGTAATTGGCAGCAATAGACAGAAAGGATTAGTTATTCAGTTGGGTGTTCTTCCAAGGTATGAAAATATAATAATTTTTAAAGCAAAATAAATAAAATTTTTCATATTATTTATTTTGCTTTAAAAATTTTTTTCAGGTTATTAAATATTTTAGGTGATGAATCATCTACAACAGAACTTATGGTTGAAACAGTAGTAACCATAGGTAGTCTGGTAAAAGGTACAGATGATCATGTTAAATCTCTGATTGATGCTGGAATTATTCCAGTTCTTTTAAGAGGTAATAAAATTGAATGTTTTTGATTAATAATAATAAATCATTATTCTTATTATTTATTTTAAATTGTTGTTTTTTATTCTATTCTTGGAATTTGTTAAACACTGCCAAAATATACAGTACAGGTATACCTCAGGTTACATCATTTTGAGTTAAGTTATTCTTGATTATGTGTTGTTTGTCAAAAAAATATATATGGAAAAAATCAAGATTAAGTCATTTTATTTGACTTTACTTCTGTCCGCCACAAATATTGAAGTCGTAATATTAGTAGAAAAACATTAAAAGCACATAAAATTATGTTACTGTACAATAAATAAGAATAAAAGTATATAAAATCATATTAAAATACATACATTTACAGTAAATGTTAATATAATCATCATAAATCCTAGAGAACGAAATATGAAAACATCTGTGACTCAGTGTTGTCAACTTATTTAGTGGTCTTTAAGAGCTCCGTATTGGCGTTTTCCAAAGTAGTTCAAATATCTACCGTTTGGTGTCATTGTCAGTGCCACTCGTGATTCCTCAAAATTGAAATTTAGTTTAGTTTACGCATACACACGGTATGCGTAAACATAACATCTGTTAAATCAAATACATAAATCAAAACATCTGCTTATTGCCTACTCTCTCATTCTCATTCATTTAAGACTATATTTTACTCCAATGGCTCCTAAGAAAATTCCTAGTGCAAGTGCTAAGCATCATGCTATAATGCTGGATAAACTGGCTATGACAAAACGCCATGAAAAAGGTGAAAAGGTTATATCGATTGCTAGATCTTTTGGAATGAGTCAGACAACTGTATTGACGATTGTTCACAATAAGGATAAGGTTTTGGCACATATCATATCACATATTGGAAGAATACTGTTATCAATAAGAAAAGAGGAAAAATCTTTGAAGAGATGGAACAACTTCTTTCTTTTTGGATTGATAGGTTGAATCATCAGCATGCTACTATTAGTCAAGAAAACATTCAAGTGAGAGTGTTGTCTTTGTTTGAGGACCTAAACAAAAAATACCCAGATGAGAAAGATTTAGAGTTTAAAGTGAGTCAAGGCTGGTTTATGCAATTCAAAGAACAAAGAAGTTATCACTCTGTTAAGAAGTAAAGTGAAAATGCATCAGCTGATGAACAAGCAGCAGCCAATTTTCCTAAAGCATTGGCTAAGATCATCAAAGAAAATGGGTTTCTTCCTGAAAAGATTTTTAGAATTGACGAAACTAGATTATATTGGAAAAAATTGCCAAATCGTTCTTTCATTTCCAAAAAAAGAAAAATCAATTCCAGGTTACAAGGTCTCAAAAGAATGTGTGACTGTTATGTTAAGAGATAATTGTGCTGGAGATCTTAAATTAAAACCATTGCTGGTATATCATGCACACAACCCCCGTGTCCTGAAGAATGTAATCAAGACATCTCTTCCTGTTATATGGATGGCTAATCCAAAAGCATGGGAGACTGTTGTTATTTTTGAGGATTGGTTCTTTAATCATTTTATCCCAGCAGCAGAAAACTATTGCAAGAAGAAGGATTCCTTTTAAGATATTATTAATAATTGAAAAATTCCACTTGCAAAACATTGTAAATTTTCACCCCAACATTACCGTCATGTACTCCCTCCGAACACCATGTCTCTTATACAACAAGCAGCAGCCAATTTTTGATCAACTGATCTTGCAGAATCTTGATGATCTGCAAGATCAGTTGCAGATCATCAAGATCTGCAACTGATCTTGATGAGTCATGCACACTTTGTGACTTTTGAAGGAGTATGACATAAGGCTGTACAGAACATAGCAGCAGCATGGAATGATGTTTAGAACACGGTTATGAATGGTGTGTGGAAAAAACTATGCCAGCAATTCGTGAATGATTTCAAGGGGTTTGATGATGATGAAATCAACAAAACGTTGGTGATCATGAGCAAAGAGTTGGAAATGGATTTGGAGGAGGAGGATTTCATAGATTTATATGAAAAAGACAAGCAATCCCTAGCAAACAAGGATTTGATAGAGCTTAACAAGCAACAAAAAAAAAAAAAAGTCGAACCTGAGCCATGTCACTTTTCCCTAAAGAAAATGCATGAAGCATTTGCTTTTATTGAAAAGGGACTTCAAATCTTTGAGGATATGGACCCAAATGGTCAACACTTTTCAAAAGTTATGCTTGCTTGTTACAAAGCTTTTCCTCCTTATCATGTAATCCTTGAAGAAAAGAAGAACACAGTTCAAGGAACTCTCGACTGGTTTCTTATTTTAAAAAAAAAAAACGTATTAAACAACAACAACAGCCAGAATCAACTGTTAATACTGATGATCCTCAACCATCTACATCTGTGGTGTAAATAAACAAATTGAATGTAAATATTGGTAAATTTAACATAAATTAGTTTATTTTCTACTATTGCAAAATAATTTTAATAACTATTTGTTATTTAACCTTACAAAACCATCTTATTTTATAATGTGTTAGAGCAAACCACATTCACAAGTAAAGAGTCTGCGATGTACTGTAAACATTGCAAAATTGTAAACGTACATTTACAAGTATATACAGTACATGCATGTATTTGTAAATTTAGAATACTTTTTCCTGTACTGTATTAAAACTAAATTGTTTGTAAGCTTAAAATAGATTCTTATTAACCATATATTATTAAAAATGCATTTATGAATAAAATACAGAACTGGGAATGGTTATTTGTGGTTTAGCCTACTGACAAGTAAATTTGACTAAGTCTCCTCTTCTGGAACAAATTATTGATGTAAGGTGAGGTATACCTGTATATATTTATCTAAGAGTCCAAAATGAAATAATAATTTATTTATTGAATATTCTAGGACTTGGTCAGAATCATGCTCCTTATGTTGAAGCTTGTCTTCGTTGTCTTCGAACTATATTTACATGTTCTTTAGCTCCAGTTGATGTTTTGTACAGTGATGATACAATAATACCACACCTTATTGGTATGGCAGCAAATACAGGTGTATCTAATAGAGAATGTGTAACTACAATATTAAAAAATGCTTGCACAGTATGTAAAAGTTCTTATAGATATTTTAGTTTTAATTAAATTTTTGTTTAAAAATTTAACATTAAACTTATTTTCATTAAAAGTTATAACCATTTTTTTAAAATCTATCAAGAAATTTCCAAATTAGATGAAATATAAATGTGAAAACTGTTTATAAATTTTTAGACTTCTGAACATCAGAATTTTCTTTGTAATAATGGTGCAGTGGATGCATTAGCTGCTCTCCTCAGTTCTTCAATATATAGGGTAAAATATTTTTGATATATAATTAATGTCATCATTCTTATTCATATTATTGAATTGATAGAGAATTTATTTCAATTTTAATTATATTTAATAGTTTGTTTCAAATAATTACATTGACATTAGTGATTATATTCAGTTTATAAGTTATTGCTGAAAAAAATATTTGTGCTTTTTAATGGCGAGAGATTGAATTATCATCAATAGTAGAAATTACATTGATAAACTATTTTTAATTACTTATGTTTTATGAATTTAAATAAAGTATACATGTAAGAAATATTTGTTGTTTGTTTGGAAATGTAGTGAAAGTAGGCACATAACCAATATAAGAAGTTTTCTTGTTAATTTTGATGTAAATTGTAAATTATCAGAGAAGTCTAATGTTGATTACAGATAATCTAGAACAGTTTAACATTAAGCTTAAAATGATTTCAAAGATGGATGATTGGCAAAGATAATTATATAAATTTCAAATTAGTTATATATATATTAACAGATAGAATAGGAACAAATATTTTAGAAACATTTAATATATACTTCCAAATTAGAAATTGAAGTGTTTTTTTTCCAATTGAGCCTTATTCAATGCAAAACTGAAGTTCTTAATGCTTTTTAATCTTTGATACATATATGAGGATTATTCAAAGAAATAATGTGCAAAGAAATGCAATTTACAATCACTTTTTTTGTCAACTTTACTATACTAACAATATTCAATATCCCCTAATATCTCCAGGTCCCCTTGGAGATGCTTAACTGCTTCTCCATGTTGTGATAGCTGTTGAATGCCATTTAATTCTTTTGTAAAGTTAATCTATCCAAATGCATTGGTTTACAGCTGCATTAAATAGTTTTAAATTGGAAGATGTTAGTTACTTTGGCCTCTTCAACTTGGAAAACAGGTTTTTATTAGGTGGATTCATATCTAGACTGTAGACCAGATGAGAGAATACTTTTCATTTGTAATCTCAGACAACATTATATGAAGTTTGTATTATCACAAAAAAAATCGACTTGCCAGTTTAATTTTGGTCAGTTTTAATTTTCTGTTACAATTTTGTCACAGAAATGCTACATGACAATCTCCACTTACTTGCAAAGCCAATACAAACATGATCTGTGTCAATAAGATCTTCATAATCATATGCCATGATGCCCATTTGTTTTATATTTGTCTTCATTGGGCTATCTTGAAATATTGCTACACTCTGCTGTACAGTCAGCACACATTTCTTGCAGCAGTTCAAGAAATTGCATGGACATATGCTTTAAAATATGATCTTTTGTATAGAACTGAAACTTGAAGCACTTTTGTTGTCCACTTCTACACACACATTTCTGTAGGTCACTGAAGTAGCCTGACATGTTTAGGAAAGTTTGCTACTAATATATAAATCAAGAACAGGTCATATCTGTGGAGCAAGGAAAACATATTCAACATGCATTATTTTTGGGCTAACCCTCATACAATACATTTTGGAGTCAATGGTCTCTTTCATTCCTGTATTCAGTTTGGAAAATCATATAAAGAAACACATTAAAGTATGTTAACTATGTTAATACTGTATTATAATTAATGTACATAAATACATTAATGTTACAAGTTTTGCATTATGTAAAATGTATAACAGACAAAATTTCAATTAAAAATATTTATAATAGCGGAATATTCATNCGACATGAAATTCGAACATATTTTTGCTCCACGATACGAACAAAAACTCACCATACGACGTTACATTAGTTTGCATTTTTCATTTGTTTTTTTCTTACTACAGTTATTTTTTTAATGTATTACTTGGCTTTAATTTGAGTATGTTTTTCGCGTTGGAACGAATTATTTGGTTTTACATGTAATCGTATGGGAAAAGATGATCCACCTTACGACATTTTCATGATACGATCTCAGTTTCGGAACGGATTAATTTCGTATCCTGAGGTACCACTGTAGTATATTGTAATCTTCATTTTGTTAACTTTATGTTAGTTTTCACATTTTTTTCTGAAAGAAAATTGAAAATTATTAAGGAAATAGATATTGATTTAAAAACACACACAGAATTTTATGGATTACTGGAATAATTTATATCTTCATTTACTATTGAAGTGTAATATGATGATGCCCTATCATTTGATCTAAAAATTATTATTGTAATAAGTTAATACATATGATTTTGAATTGTGTTTAAAAAGGGTATAAAAGTCAGAAAATTTGAAATTATTATGTACTTTACATATGTCCTTCCCAATCTATATATATAAAATTACATGTCCTGAATGACTGATTCATCATCACCCAGAGCAAACCACTGAACCTAAAGAGGTGAAATTTGATACAGTTAGGGTATGTCATGGAATATGCACACTAAGAAGAGATTTTTCAAAATTTCCTGCATGGGGGAGAGGGAAAGGATCAAGGCTTAAAAAGTCTTAGCCCCAAAAGGCAGTACCATAAACTTGGTTTATAAAGAGGTACTGGGGTAACTGAAACTCTATTTTTCTGTAAATATTTATATTTATACTTTAGGAATTTTCAGATTTAACAACACCAAGATTGATTCAAATAATTTGATTCACCTGTTTACTATGATAAATGATAATATTTTAAATGCTTTTTCAAAATTCATATTGTTATTTTTATTTTATATTGCTAAAAATCAAATAATTTATAAAATGATTGTTAATATATTTATTGTGAAGAGCAATAGTTTTACCTATATGATCAGAACTAATTGTGACTTTCACAGTCTTTCTGAAGACGGTTTAGATTTATTTCATTCTCATTTTTTTATCTCTGCTGTTCAAGCCTTAACTATTATTTGTTACCTGTCCATAAGGAATAAAATTAAGATGATACTAATAACTATATTAAACTATAGAAATTTGTGCAGGAAAAATTCAGTTCAATTTATTGGAATCTGGTTATGAATAAATGAATGTAAATTTTTCTTTTTAATAGAAAAATAAAATTAAGATCAGTCACTTACTTAAAGTATAAATATTACTTAGAAAAACTTCTTGTAAATTTTTACAAGTGTACAGTAGAGCATTGATTTATCTGAAATAATGTAGGCAGGGCAATTTTGGATAACTGATCACACTTGGTAGAGAAAGAATGGAAAGTTAAATTCCTTAATAAAGTAAAACTGTTAATTTTAATTTTGGTACATTAGTTTAAAAAATGTTGAAGTATAGGAATTTAATGCATTTGAATGATAAGAAGTAACAAAAGAAATGTCTAATTTATTAAAAACAAACACTAATCTTTCATTGTAACTTACAATGTACTTTGAATTCAAAGAAAAATACATAATAGTAAAATTAATATTAAATAAAGATACAATAATCATCTAAGAATTATTTATTGCAATTTTTTTTTTAAGAAGTTGCTTGATTGTTATGAGAGTTGAAAAATCTGCTTCAAGTTACATTTTTAACCATGCTAATGCTGTTTCTAATGCTTTAAATGCTTTACTTTGCATAGGTACAGTGAGGTATTTGATGCACTAAATGCCTGTGACTCATTAATCATGCTTTACTATTTGTATCATAGGGTTCATTTACTTTTATCTCCGATCTCACCCCTAGTGCGCTCAGCCTGTATACTTTTTGTTAGTTACCAGTGAGCATAGCATTTACTTTTTGCACCTGTGACATCATTGCTAGCATTCCTAGCACACTTGGCGTGCTCAGAGAATTTACAATGAGCTTGGAGTTTGTTCAAAGACGGCGGCATCCATTACTATGTATACTTTTACGAGCGTGCTAGTATGACGTCAGGCTGTGCTAGGTGTCAGCTCGGCAAGCTTGGAAGCTAGCAAAAAGTAAACGCACCATAATAAATAAAACTTAAGTGTAGTATTGATAAGATAGCTTGCTAGCAGACCTTCAAAAGTTAGGCATTAGTTATTATTACTTAAAAACTTTAATTCCTGAAATTAGTATTCCTGAAGTCAATTTCAGTTAATTGACACTTTACTTTAATTAAAAATCAATATCAATTTAACAAATTGTTTAAAATTGCCTTAAAGCTATATCTTTAACATTTGAGGAATTGATAGGAATAATTCATTTAAATGCTTGACTAGAGATTTAATTTCAGCCAATTTGGTTTGCCTGGAATATATTTGATATAAGAGTTAAACATAATATAATTAGATAAATTTCATTACTTTTTAAATTTATTTAATGAGTTATATGACAGTAATATCAATTTTAATTTCTGATATTTTCAGTATGACATACTTATGCAGAGCAGAAGCTATTAGTCCCAATGATTCAAGAATAGTGTTTAAGGTGATTATTTATTTATTTATAAACATATGCAAGATTAAGAAAATACAAAAAATTCCTGTAAAATTTTCTATAAAATTGCAATATAGTGCTTGTGATTTATTGAGCCTTCATATATATATTTACATACATTTGATTATATATATTTTTTCATAATTAGCATTGATAGTCAGCATTATTAGAAAAACTGAATAAATTCAATGAGTAATGAAATTTATTTCATTAATCACTGAATTTTTTTACATTAAAATAATTAGCTTATAATTTTATTATAATGACTTATTAACATGTATTATAGTATGTAACATGCATGTGTTTTTTGAATGGTTTCAAAAATTAAACATAATGCCAAATATGAAATTTTAGATTTTTTTTTGTAGTTATGATTCTTCCTGAATAAACATTATTGTATACTTTTAAGCTAATTAGCCTATAATTTCTTAATTTTATTATCAGATATTTCAAATTATATTTAATTCCAAATTTAAATGCCATGTTTATGCTGGTATTATATAATGTAAAACATTGATTTTAATACAGTGGTACCTCAGGTTACGAACGCCCCAGCATACGAAATTTTCAGGATACGACATGAAATTCGAACATATTTTTGCTCCACGATACGAACAAAAACTCACCATACGACGTTACATTAGTTCGCANTAATATTTGAAACTTGAATTTAGGTGCATTAGCAGTTCATAGTTTGAAACAAACAAAAATCAGTAATTTTACCAAATTAGTAACAACTAATGATTGAGAATCTTAGTGAAGTACCGAGGGAGGGTTATTTCTATCAAATTGCAAAATCCATGTGGGTGATGCCATGGGTAACAGCTAGTGTGTTTATATTTTTACACTGCTTAAAAAAATGCATTTGTATAATAATAATAATTAGATATTCATTCAAGTGTCTTCCAACTGAATAATGAATCTTAGGAGCTATTGACAAATTTTTGTATTAATTCAAATATATTTAAACAGTTAATATACATTAGCCAGGGTCTTTAATTATTGACAGTTTTAAAATGGTTTGATGATTGAATTTTGAAATAGTAACTTTATATTATAAGAATGGTTAACTTGAATATGAATGTCTGTAAAATTTGCCTTAACAATAATTTTTTTACATAAAAATAATTGTCTGAATTACAAGATTTATTTATATTTTGCTGTATTTTTTCTAATTAAATATATATATATGCCTTGACTCAGGCATTTGACATTTTGAGAACTCACTTTTTCATATATAATACTTTGATACCCCTGAATTGATTTTTTTATGCCAAATCACACATTCATGCATTTTTAGCTGATAAACATTTCAAGCTTTTGTGTAGTAGAATTTACTGCTCAGTTTGGATAATGTAACAGAAAAATCATTTGAAAAATTAATTTGACTTCTGTTTAATCTATATGGTTTAAATAATAATTTACATATTGTAACATATTCACTGAAAAAAAGGGCAAAACTATCATACTTACATTCTTCTGAGTTCTTTGATAGTATTTTTACAAAATCATTTATGTATTATATGTAAATTAAATGTAAATTTTCATTAAGTAAAATTGATTACACTTTCATTTTTTTTAATATCATAGCATTAATCAATATATTTCTAAAGATATTTTTATTAATTTAAAAAATTTGAATTGGGTGTCTTTATTTACAAAAAATTATTTATAAATGACAATATATTAAAAAGATTGATTTTATATATATATATAATAGTGTGTGTGTGTATATATATATATATACACACACACACATACTATTAGATATTTTTATTAATCCACATACTATTAATCCACATACTATTAATAGTAATATCCATATACTATTAATATATATATATTAATAGTATATGGATATATAACATAAAATGAATTGAAATAAATGGAGTTTTATTATTTATTTGAATAAGAAGAATAACTAAAGATGTTTGAATTGAACAATTGTTTTAACAGATCATTGTCTTCAATTTTAATTTTAAACTAAAATCTGTCGAAATATCTGTTACTATTTATTCACTATTACTGTTCTGGAATACAATTTTTGATGACTAACTTTTGTTCCAGGCTTCTTGGTTGCCAAATTTCAAAAATTCTGTTTTAGAAACAATGAAAAAATATCTAATTAAAAACAAACAATTTTTAAAATTTGGTACCACATTTAATTTTGAACTTAATTACCATTCAATGATGATGATTGAAAAGAATACAGATTATAGTATTTTTTAAAATATGATTTAAACTTAAAAGAAATTGAAATTATTATATATAGTAATTGTCCATGTACAATAATTGTAATAATTAATAGTTTTAATTGATTATTTAATGTAATTTCATAAGACGCTCCCCACTTTGGTACGTATGTGCAAGAAAGATCAGTCTCCTGAAGAAAGAGTTGAAGGAGCTGAAACTTTGGCCTACTTGACAGAAGTTGATACTGAACTGCAAAGAGTTGCTAGTATTAGTGATCATTTAATTCCAACTTTAGCAGAATTACTTAAATATCAACCACCTTCAGCTGGTATTGTTGGAACAGGTGCAGTTTCTGCAACAACTATGAAAAAAGTAATTAATTTCAGATTGATTTGTAATGAAATTTAAGTTTGTTTTTAGTTGACATTGAGATTAATTTCAGTTGGAACAAGAAATGAGACTTGAGCAGGAAATGAAACAAGCAGCATTTAAAGCTTTTGCTTCTCTTAGTGCCAATGATGAAGAAATAAGGAAAAAGGTAAACTATATAAAATTTATAAATTTTATTTCTTATTATTGGAAAATATTATTCATTTAGTATTGCTGTAATTTATATTTGTATAATCTAATTTTTCTCACAGAAATTTGAAAAAAATGCAGTAATTTATTAGAAAAAAATCAGTTAAGTGCACTGCTGGCCAAGAAAATGCAACACCATAGAAAGCTTCCATTGTTTCAATATCTATAGTCAATCATGGTGTTGTAGTTTACTTGGCTGGCAATGTATGTTTGGATATAATAATATAGTAATAAATAAATGGAATTTAAGCACCTAAGAATTTCTATGTTCATTACATTGAAGAGAAATATTATAGAAGATTCTAGAATTAGTGAGTTTGCATATGGATATTTTCTGTAGAACTTGACAATAAAAATAGTGTAGCATTGAATATCATAGATAAAGTTTACATATGAGCTTACAATGTTATAAATGTACATTGAAACTAGTAGTCATTTTAAAATAATTAAAAAATTAACACAAGTATTATTTGAATAATAGAAATTTGCTCTAAAAACATTAGAAAAAATTGAGTATATATATGTGACATTGTCACAATGTTAGTCTGCAATTTTAATCATCATTTAATTTAAAAAATCACATGACTTCTGGTCAAGATCAGACATTTATATATAGTTAATTAGGGCCAGTGGCCTAAGCTTTCCATATTTGGTTTTTTATTTTCATCTAACTGCATTCTAAAGAATAATAATGGACAGACGGACAACAGTGGGAATGTAGTCTGCAATCTGAAAATTGCAGCCCAAAATATACTGTATAATTGGGGCTGCATAATATAAAGAATGCATAAATTTTTGTATGCATACTTTCAAGAACTATACCAAAATTTAAGCAAAAGCTAGATTTTAATTCAATATTTCCGTTACAAGTTCCTGTGGATTTTAAGCCTAAAATTTTGACCTTTTTTCCAGCAACTTACATCATACAAGGAACTCTTCTTATTGATATAGACTTCATTACTGGATTTGGATATGCATTTATGTTGATTCTCACACAGTGTAATTTGTACATTTTACAATGGTTTTAAGAGCTTTTAATTTCAACTATTTTGAAGGAAGGATTTTAAACTCACATTTTTAAATTTAGTTTTCATTCAAAAAATTCTTTTAATTTTTAAAATTTGTTTTAAATCTTACCAACTCATAATTTTACCCATCTACAGCATCTTTCTTTGTTTAAAAATTATTATAATGTATCCAATTAATTGCTCAATTTTTAATTTAAATTTGTATTCAATAATCAACTAATATCTGTATATAAAAAATAAGGACTGAAGAGGGGTCATTAATACCCAAAATGCACATCCACATCCAGTAATAAAGTCTATATCAATAAGAATTCCTTGTGTGATGTAAATTACTGGAAAAAAAGCTAAAATTTTAGGCTTAAAAATTCCAAAAAAGCTAGATTATCAAAGTAAAATACATTAAAACTTATAATTATAACTTCATCAATTTAAGATAAATAAATGCAGAAAAAAGTACCAAGATAATTATTAGAGCTTTCTGCTGCAAAATATTTTCCATTGTTGCTTAAAAAATTCTGCATACCATTGTTAAATATCTGATACCAGATTCTCTATTGAATGAGAATTCTACAATATCTTAGATTCTACAAATTAATATATTCAACATAATAGATATGAGGGTGGTTTTTTCAATCTCCAATGGTCCATAAAACAAAGACAAGTGTAAATAACAAAATGAATTTATTACCAAAAGTTAGGTACAAACATGGTTACTTTTCAATATAATCACCAGAAGATTGAGTCATTTGTCTTCTGTGGACGAGCTTTGCAATTCCCTCTTTATAGAATGTTGCTGCCAGTGATTGAGATGGGTCTTAATGTTGTTTTGAAGATTGTCATTAGTCTCAAATTTCTGTCCACCTAGCCATGTTTTCAGTTCAGGAAAGGTTGAAGTCTTCACACATTAAAGGTGTGAAGATTTCCACCAAGCTTGGAACTTTTAAACACCCAGCGTACAGCCCCAATTTAGTGCTGAGCAACTTCCACTTCTTTCCTGAACTAAAAATTGGCTAGGCAGAGGTTTGAGACTAATGTCTATTTTCAAAACAACATTAAGGCCCATCTTAATCACTGGCAGCAACATTTTATGAAGAAGGGATTTCAAGCTCGTCCACAGATAGACAAATGTCTCAATCTTCACTGTGATAATCTCAAAAAGTAAACATGTTCACTGGAAAAGTAAACTATCACTGGAAAATACATGTTTCATGTGAGATAAACAATAAAAGTACATTGAAATCATAAATTTTCCATGTCAATTGGTTTTCCTCATCAGTCATTTTTTCCCGAAGTCCTGCCAAAAACAATAGATTGAGAATCCACTGTATATCCAAATGAGTGATATAATGAGGGGCTACTGAACTTACAATATTTGGAAAGATTTTAATTGAAAGCAATAACTTAGTACCATATTTAAAAATTTCATAAACATGGTATTTAATTTAAAAATAGAAACTACATAAAAATATTTGTTTACATTTTGTGAGAGTAGCCTGGGGTACAGGGTAGGTCTATTACGCCTGTATCACTTATTAGGCACAGATTAACCGAAATCTGTCTCCTTAGTTTCGGATCGAGGGATCCGATCTTAAAAAGTTCTTATAGGAGGGCGATAACCGCTAGTTGATCCGAACTGCGAAGTTCAGATGCTCGTCAGAACTGACACCAGTTTGTCAATTAAATTCCGCGGACAAACACGCGTATGAGATCTGATTCGGACACACAGTTAAGAGACATTTTAATTAAAACGAAATAATAAATTTAATAAAACAAGAAAATAAACTCATACAAATTGGGGATAAACGAGAGACAGAACTACTACAATAATATACAAATCGAACGATAGCTATGCTTATCTTATACCTAATTCGCGATCGAGAGAGAGAGCTCACAAAATCATTATAAAACATACGACCTGTTTAGTTGTCGTTCATCGTCTTCTCTGTATGCAAGTTCATTTACTTCTTCATATAGGAGATCACTATGTGCACAAAATCAAAGTATAATTTCTGCGTGCAGACTCTAGACTTATTCTGTATGTGACTCGTCTAAGGACGTCGGTCATCAGGAGGGAAACGTATGTGGAGTTTGGACGCTTTCAGATCTGTCGCTGAACTCTCCGAATTCTGACAAGTTCCCTGTATATCTTCAGAATACCGACCAATCATCGGCCAGTAACTCTTTCGTGAGAATGGATGAAAGGGGAATGAATGAGGGGTAATCATTTCCCATCTGAGCAGGATTTTAACCAGATAAGGGAAAGTCAGAGGATGTTCTCTTCTGTGAAAGGAAGTAACATCTGTTATCTGTTTTTTCCCAACCTAAAACAGTATTTTCCTCACCAAAAATGAAGTAATATTTGGTGACAATATTTAACAAAATTAATAAAATATTAATTTAGACCCAGGGGCCTTTCGGGTCTCACAATTTTCTAGCACTAGATAAATTTTGTTAAGTTATTAAAAATATTGATGATAAATATTGAATATCTATCAAATATTCTAATTAATATAAGAAATATAAGTGATAAACAATTATGAATAAACATTCACTTAAATGGGCTAGTTTATCAGTTTTTCAAATACAGTAGAGCGTTGTTTATCCGAATCAGTTGGGGACTGGGGTTGTTCGGATAACTTATTTTTCAGATAACCGATTATGTACGAAAAAATATATTAACCTATCCCATGTTGAAATTTTTCTCCATTGCGTGTCGCTTTGCATTGAATTTTCGACGATGTTAAGCCTAATGTAAACTTTTTAAAATAATAATCGTGACTATTGTATCGTTAAAAATTATTTCTTTATTTTTTACAAACAAAATAAATATATTGAAAAATATAAAAACAAAAAAAAAATTATAGTATAGAAGTTAATCTAGTATCAAAAATGTTCGATTCAGCATGACACACAGTCCTCAGAAAAACATTACACAAAAGTGCCAGTGCTGCCAGATAAAACACGCACACCAACAAAAATAATACTAGAGTAGCCCAAGATATAGCCAAAAATTGTAGCACCACAGCACTAGTGAAAATTTAAATTTGCCGACTGGAATGCTTTCGGTTAACCGACGTTTCGGATAACCAGCTTTCAGATAAACAATGCTCTACTGTAATACAGTATATTGATATACACAATTGCCACAATTAAACAGAAAAAAAATCTGAAAACAAATTTAATTCAGTTTTGTACTCTAGCAAGCATCATATGATTTTTAAAATTTACACACATACTACATACATACAACACTGTTTAAATCTAATATATGTATTGTTATTATTAATTTTAAATCAGTAGTAGTACTTTTTGTCAACTGTTTCAATTTTCAAAACATATGCCAAAGTATTTGAAATTACAGTAATTATAAAGTAAAATTATTTATAAAAATAATTAAATGTATTAAACAGGAAGATATCTTTAATATATAATAATCTAATATTATCAAATTAATATATTAATTCATAATTTAAAATTCTGTGAAGAAANTTCCACTGTTGGTTGTCTGTCTTCCTGTCTGTCTTTAATCTCGAGAACGATATTACTGAAATGCTTTGTACTATTACTGAAATGCTTTGTAAAGTCAAGACCAAATGTAAAAAGCTCAAGGAAGGAGGCTTCAATTAATTATATACATTAGAGCGTCGTTTATCCTAATCAATTGTGGACTGAGGTTCAGCTAACTTATTTTTCGGATAACCGATTATGTACGAAAAAATATATTAACCTATCCCATGTTGAAATTTTTCTCCATTGCGTGTCGCTTTGCATTGAATTTTCGACGATGTTAAGCCTAATGTAAACTTTTTAAAATAATAATCGTGACTATTGTATCGTTAAAAATTATTTCTTTATTTTTTACAAACAAAATAAATATATTGAAAAATATAAAAACAAAAAAAAAATTATAGTATAGAAGTTAATCTAGTATCAAAAATGTTCGATTCAGCATGACACACAGTCCTCAGAAAAACATTACACAAAAGTGCCAGTGCTGCCAGATAAAACACGCACACCAACAAAAAAAATATTAGAGTAGCCCAAGATATAGCCAAAAATTGTAGCACCACAGCACTAGTGAAAATTTAAATTTGCCGACTGGAATGCTTTCGGTTAACCGACGTTTCGGATAACCAGCTTTCAGATAAACAATGCTCTACTGTAATACAGTATATTGATATACACAATTGCCACAATTAAACAGAAAAAAAATCTGAAAACAAATTTAATTCAGTTTTGTACTCTAGCAAGCATCATATGATTTTTAAAATTTACACACATACTACATACATACAACACTGTTTAAATCTAATATATGTATTGTTATTATTAATTTTAAATCAGTAGTAGTACTTTTTGTCAACTGTTTCAATTTTCAAAACATATGCCAAAGTATTTGAAATTACAGTAATTATAAAGTAAAATTATTTATAAAAATAATTAAATGTATTAAACAGGAAGATATCTTTAATATATAATAATCTAATATTATCAAATTAATATATTAATTCATAATTTAAAATTCTGTGAAGAAAAATTCTGTAAACTACGAAGAATCCAAATACATTTATTCTATAATTTTTAATTTTCTTTGTAGATAATTGAAACAGACTTCTTAATGGAGCATGTGGTTACCGTTTTATCAGATCCTAATCCACGTCTTCGATTAGCTGCTGTGAGATGCCTGCACAGTCTTTCTAGATCTGTTCAACAGCTTCGAACAACATTTCAAGATCATGCTGTATGGAGACCTCTTATGAAGTTGCTACACAATGCTCCTGATGATATTTTAACTGTTGCATCGAGTACTTTATGTAATCTTCTTCTGGAATTTTCCCCCAGCAAGGAGGTACCGTATTATGTATGTTTATTATGATTTTGTAATTTTATTATACATAATTATAAATTTCAATAGAATAATTAAAATTTTTGAACTAATCTAGTTTGAATTATCATGTCATGTTAAAGGTCTAATTATAAAGAGAAAATATTAGTTGTATAATTATCAAATACATTTATTTAAATGTAGGTTTGAAAAAATTATAGGTTTTAAATTAAAGTAAAATATTTTATTATTATATATTAAGATTAAAATTAAATATTCTAATAATTNAATACAATATAAATGAAATAAAATAAAACAAAAAGAATAGAATAAATTTAATGAGGCTCTTTTACTAAACTCTGAAGGATTTAATGATATTTTAACCTTGTTATTAATAATGAGCAGATGTTTAGAAATGACAAAAATGTAAATTTGTTTCAAAATTCTAATTTTAGATCTGTTGTTACACTCTAAGTGTAGATTTGTTCAAAAAAGCCTTTATATCTTTTTCACAAGCCCAATTCCTAACTACTTGGGTTATATATGGTAGCACATTTATATTTATTACTATTTTCTTACTAGATCTCAAAGTAGACTGTATAAAAGAGAAATATTCATTGTTTTTTTAAGTGATTACATAGATACCTGATTTTAATCTAGTGTTCAATTGTTCCTTATTACAGTGTAAATTGGTCATGACTGTTGGTTGATCTAAATTTTGTAGGATGCTTTCAGATACAGGAATAACTAGATGAATATTTTATAAAGAAAAATTAAGAAGGAAATTCTTACAGAATGTTAATAGCTTAGCAACCTATTTTATAATATCAAACTTCAAATTTTCTTTCCGAATATCTTTTGTATGTTTTATTTTGTCATGCTTGCACTCTTGTAATATCAGTTTTCATTTTTAATCCTACATCTTGGCAGTTCTGACCTGCAACATCTGGGTCAAATTTGTTTATATATTATCTACATAAACCTTGTTTATAAACAGGACTTGTTATACTGGTGTAGTTTCAAATTAGCAAAAATAGGAAAACTTAGTCAAAAACTACCAGTGTAATAAGTCCTATTTACAAACTAAGTCTATGTAGCTAAATATTTCAAATTTCTTTACATATAAAGGATATAGAGGCATAAATAATTATTCTGAGTGAAATATTGACGTATCATCCAAATAGTCACTGATCTGGGAATGATCGTCATCCTCATGTTAGCCACTCATGGTTTGAGGTAATCCACAAGTATTTCTGAAGTCTGTGTGTTCACTAATCTTTTTAATCCAGATTGGTCATTGCATAAAACTTTTTCAATTGAATAAGGTTTGAGGAACTAAGGGTTAAGCTTTGGTCTAGAGCCCAGTTGTGATCGTTTTTTAAACATTTTTGATAATTCTTCTTCAGTATGTTGTTTTATTTTTTCTTCTGTAATCATTTTCAAATTCTCAAACTCAAAGTACTTAATGCAATAAATATCTCTAAAATCATTAAGAGTTTATATTAAATTATTTCATTTACAGTAGACTCCCCTATAAAACGGGTCATATAGTTCGGATTCCTATATGACAGCGAAAAAATTGTGACCGTATTCATATAAACACACTAAAAAAAAACTTATAATTCGGTAAAACATCATTGCCGACTCGTGTCGTGACAGAATTGGTCGAATCTAGACCAATAGCAGAAAATGCACAAACCATTGAGTTTAAACGAGCAGTGGACCTACTAAAAACCATTTATTATTTAACGGCCATAAAAATTATATTTATATTAATGATGTCTCCAAAGTTCAGCAAAGTTTTTGCAGAAAAATAATTTATCAGGAAGCACGCGAGTGCCATTCAATGCGCCGCTCCGCGACAAAAACAAGCTTAAGCAATGGTGTAGTTGAACAGTGCACACTCGGTAAGTAATCCTACAATTTTTTGTTTCTAGCATAGTTTATATGGAGTATTCCCAAAAAATTATATGTATTTTGGAAATGTTGAGTTGAATTAGTCTAGAATCGATTAATTGTATGGAAGAAAACCTTTCAAACAGCTGTAGTCTGTAAACTGCATACATGCTGGGCTGTGATTGGCTCATGTATTTAAGGACTCATAGAAAATGAATTTCATAAAAACCGGAACATATCTACCGTGTTATAGGGGGTCAACTGTATATTGTATTAGTATTGTCTTTTAGTTACATTTTTCCAATCTGGTCTAATATGTATTGTGGCATGCACTAACTGGTGTTTCAAAAATATTCTAAAAATTCCAATTTGTATTCGATATTTTGATGTTTGAAATGCTGTAGATGTCTTGTATTGAGTCTAAAGCATTACAGTAATATAAAATAATTAAAATCATGACTGCTAGTTGAGGAAACTTTTTATCATATTTACTCTAATATAAGACGATCTCACATATATGATGAGGTGTGACTTTAAAGATCAAAATAGAGAAAATTAGATTTATTAATACAATTCTAATTTTATTTTGTTTCATAACAAATAAAATATCAAATGTGTGTAAATGCACACATTGTCCTACAAAAATTTCTGGCATTTTAAACTTCAAGGGGAAAACTTGTAAAATTGACAACATAATTTATTCATGTAAAGCTGGACAATTGGGAACCTTTTTTGCCAACTCTTAACAGTCTAGTCTAATTCACTCTTTGTTGATTACACTTATGAGTTTCTTCGAATTTCCAAATAATCATCTGTTTTCATGTGGGAATGAATTAAAACTTATATCGGATTTCCGTGTAATTTTGGAATTCAATTCAAAAGCTTTGCTTTTCCTATTGCTATTCATTTTTACTCCTGACAATACACAAGAATGATTCAAATGACCCAGATAAAATACTTTTGTTTTTAAACATGGGAAGGTGAGAATCTGGTAAAATATGTGAATACATAGTTTAAAAAATTATACAAAAATGAAAAGAATCCTTCGCTTGCGCATATAGGATGACCTAGGTTTTTGAAGCAGTGAAAAATGGATAAAAATATCGTCTTATATGCAAGTAAATATGGTATTTATTTGGTGCCAAGTTTCAAATTGGTTGTTCAAAAAAATAAATCTAATATTAATGATAAACTGTTTACAGTTACCTGATAATTTGTGCTATAATCTCTCAGGTTTTTCCAGTTTTCAAAGATTGATTTTCTATAGAGAATAAAAAAAAATATTTTAAGAATTCATAAAAATGGAAGAATGAAAAACATTGTATTTCAAATTTTTTTTGAAGAATTTCTTAAATGTTAAGAAGTTCCAGAATTCCTGTCATCAAATGATTTATTACTATTTTTATTGTTGGCTATGATAGCTATGACATTGTATAAATANGGACCTACTAAAAACCATTTATTATTTAACGGCCATAAAAATTATATTTATATTAATGATGTCTCCAAAGTTCAGCAAAGTTTTTGCAGAAAAATAATTTATCAGGAAGCACGCGAGTGCCATTCAATGCGCCGCTCCGCGACAAAAACAAGCTTAAGCAATGGTGTAGTTGAACAGTGCACACTCGGTAAGTAATCCTACAATTTTTTGTTTCTAGCATAGTTTATATGGAGTATTCCCAAAAAATTATATGTATTTTGGAAATGTTGAGTTGAATTAGTCTAGAATCGATTAATTGTATGGAAGAAAACCTTTCAAACAGCTGTAGTCTGTAAACTGCATACATGCTGGGCTGTGATTGGCTCATGTATTTAAGGACTCATAGAAAATGAATTTCATAAAAACCGGAACATATCTACCGTGTTATAGGGGGTCAACTGTATATTGTATTAGTATTGTCTTTTAGTTACATTTTTCCAATCTGGTCTAATATGTATTGTGGCATGCACTAACTGGTGTTTCAAAAATATTCTAAAAATTCCAATTTGTATTCGATATTTTGATGTTTGAAATGCTGTAGATGTCTTGTATTGAGTCTAAAGCATTACAGTAATATAAAATAATTAAAATCATGACTGCTAGTTGAGGAAACTTTTTATCATATTTACTCTAATATAAGACGATCTCACATATATGATGAGGTGTGACTTTAAAGATCAAAATAGAGAAAATTAGATTTATTAATACAATTCTAATTTTATTTTGTTTCATAACAAATAAAATATCAAATGTGTGTAAATGCACACATTGTCCTACAAAAATTTCTGGCATTTTAAACTTCAAGGGGAAAACTTGTAAAATTGACAACATAATTTATTCATGTAAAGCTGGACAATTGGGAACCTTTTTTGCCAACTCTTAACAGTCTAGTCTAATTCACTCTTTGTTGATTACACTTATGAGTTTCTTCGAATTTCCAAATAATCATCTGTTTTCATGTGGGAATGAATTAAAACTTATATCGGATTTCCGTGTAATTTTGGAATTCAATTCAAAAGCTTTGCTTTTCCTATTGCTATTCATTTTTACTCCTGACAATACACAAGAATGATTCAAATGACCCAGATAAAATACTTTTGTTTTTAAACATGGGAAGGTGAGAATCTGGTAAAATATGTGAATACATAGTTTAAAAAATTATACAAAAATGAAAAGAATCCTTCGCTTGCGCATATAGGATGACCTAGGTTTTTGAAGCAGTGAAAAATGGATAAAAATATCGTCTTATATGCAAGTAAATATGGTATTTATTTGGTGCCAAGTTTCAAATTGGTTGTTCAAAAAAATAAATCTAATATTAATGATAAACTGTTTACAGTTACCTGATAATTTGTGCTATAATCTCTCAGGTTTTTCCAGTTTTCAAAGATTGATTTTCTATAGAGAATAAAAAAAAATATTTTAAGAATTCATAAAAATGGAAGAATGAAAAACATTGTATTTCAAATTTTTTTTGAAGAATTTCTTAAATGTTAAGAAGTTCCAGAATTCCTGTCATCAAATGATTTATTACTATTTTTATTGTTGGCTATGATAGCTATGACATTGTATAAATAATATAAAGTCATTGTCTGTGTTTTTAATGTAAGAATTAGGACTCCTAGTCCTAAATGTTTGAGAAATATTAAAATAAATATCATTGATAAAATATAATAGAAAATAACTTTACTAAAATCATAATGATGTCTTGGAAAAAAAAGCAATAAAATATTTTGGAAGCATAATTTATAGAACAGGCACTGCCATAAAAGAATGAATTAAATATACAGGGTTTCCATGCACCTGGAAAGTCAGGGATTTTCATTAGTGTTTGGAAAAAGTCATGGAAAATCAGGGAATCTGTCTGCTTAGCTGCCTTGTTGATTTTGTTTGCAGAATATGGCTGACCAATTGTAGCCATCTGCATGCAGCAAGAAGTAATACTGCAACTTTTATTATGAATGTAGCAGAATCCATTTTTCTGTCGAAACATTTTTAGAGGCTTTTTTGTGCTTAACTGCTTTCCTTATCTGATATCATCAAAACTATCTTCCAAAAACACTGAAAATTTTTGTGGTGCTTACTGCTGAACCTTGCACAATTGCATATAATGAATTAATTTTAATTTTATGCGTGTAATAAGTCTTACTTATTGTTCTATTGTATTGTAAGACTATATTTTAAAATCACTCAAAATCAGAACTTTAAATCACATCAAATTGTTTAATTTTTTAAACATTTTGTTTTGATGTTTTTTAGTTAATACAAAGGTTTACTTTTACTGACAGTTGCAGGCCACTTTTAAAACTAACATTAATTAATCGTTTATGTGAAGAAGAATTATAAAATGCAACACTGATGAGAGCATTGCAAAATTCTGGGGATCAAACAGTCCGTGATATAATATACTTCCAGATCAACCAGCATTTTTAAATTTTAAACATTTTGAGATTTTAAAAATGCTTTATCCTCAATTTGAGGTAAGGTGTCAATGAATTTATTTTAAAAAATGAGAACAAAGTGTGAAAATTGATAAATATTTGTAATTTGTTGGTATTATTTATCATTTTTTATTTTAATAATTTTACATTGATCATATCTGTAGTAATACTGTAGTATGTTATAGTTTTGAATATCAACTAGGTAGCCTGATCATTTTTTNATGAGAACAAAGTGTGAAAATTGATAAATATTTGTAATTTGTTGGTATTATTTATCATTTTTTATTTTAATAATTTTACATTGATCATATCTGTAGTAATACTGTAGTATGTTATAGTTTTGAATATCAACTAGGTAGCCTGATCATTTTTTCATATGGGAAAAAATGCTTTATTTGAAAATATTTAAATTTACCTTTTTGTTTAAAAACAGTTGCCCTTTTTGTTGAAAGATTGGTTTTAAAATTACATGTTTCTAAGTCAAGAGTTCATCTTTTTAAGTGCAGTACAGTACTATTTGTGTATCAGAGAATACTGTTTGTTGATTTTATGCTTCCTCATGTTTGCTAGATTTACATACAAATAATAATGATAAATGACGATAAAATAGAAAAAAGCTCATGTTTTGTTTGTAAATTGCTTATTTTTTCATTATGTTGAAGTTGTGGATTTTATCAAACATTTTTCTACAGGATGCATGTACCATACTTTTTTGCACAGTCTGGAACATATCAACTGTGCAAAAAGAGGGATAGATGTATTTGATGTTCACAGTAAGTAAAATGCTGTTTCATTATGTTGATATCGATTCAATACTGTAAGAAATGAGAAGGTCGGGGAATTTGGACAAAGTTGGTCAGGGAAAGTCAGGGAATTCAAAATAAAAATTTGAGTAGGAATCCTGAATATACTAAATCATTTTTTGTGAAAGAAAATGTATGTGTGTGTATATATATATAAATTACATATCTTAACATTTACTTTGACGTACAGTACAATATATAAATGATTCCACTTGGTACAGAGATGATGTACCAAGTGGAANTTTTTCTCATCATAGTGAGTATAAATGTATTTTTTAAGATGATCTGATTTTAATATTTTGAGAATTCTTATTAATTTTTTTATTTCCATTTATATTCATAGCCACTTTATACTACTATGCATTTATTTTAATATATAAAAAGTATATATGCTGTACCTATATTTCATTTATAGAATGATGGCTTTAATTATTATTTAATAAGATTTAGTATATTATTAAATTCTGCTGTAATCTGTTACAGCCAATTCTAGAATGTGGAGTAGTAGAATTATTGTGCAGTCTAACAAAACAGGAAGATCCAGCATTAAGGTTAAATGGAGTTTGGGCATTGATGAATATGGCATTTCAAGCTGATCAAAAAATAAAATCACAGATTCTCACTACATTAGGTACAGACCAAATTTTCCACTTGCTTACTGATCCAGATGTCAATGTTCTAATGAAAACACTTGGTCTTTTACGGAATTTACTTTCTACAAAACCTGTATGTTTGTTTTATTATAATTATTATTTTACAATGATATGAAATTATTCATAAATCATAATTTTTAGCATATAGATCACATAATGGGACTTCATGGTAATCAGATAATGCAGGCAATCATTCTTATATTGGAAGGTGATCATACAACTGAAGTGAAAGAACAAGCTCTGTGTATCTTAGCTAATATTGCCGACGGAGATTCTGCAAAAGATTTTATCATGTCTAATGAAGATGTTTTAAAGAAATTAACAACTTATATGGTATGGGTATTTTTGTTGTATTGAATGCTTTCTTATATGCAGATATTAATACTCACAGGAAATATAAGTTTTTATTCATTTTTGGAGTAAAAAATTAAAATATTTATAGATTCATATTTACAGTTTGAGCAGACTTAATTTTTTTTAATACAGAGGTTTCATAATTAAAGTTTCCATTTTGAAAAGCTGTAACTGGCAAACTATATAATGGAATAACTTCAAATTTAACATAAAGATGTGTTCAGTGATGGAATTTTATTTGGTGCAGAAAAGTAAATTAGTTCTGAAAATTGCTGCTATAGTACTACACCACTTTAGTAATAATTAAAAAGCATCACTAAATGTTTGGTTGTAGGGACATCTAAAACAAGTTTATTGCAAACAAATAGCCAACTTGGCAGACCTCAAGACCAGCATTACACATCATTTTGAGAGAAACTCTATTTTTTGTGGTTGAGCATGCTGTTTCGCAATTTCAGCATATCACAACAAAAGTGTCACAACATATCAAACATGTTATTCTGTAACCACAGATGATATGTGTTTCATTTATTTTGTGACACTTTTTATTTACTGCTAAAGTGTTGCAGTGTCATATATCACACTAGTGGCAATTTTCAGAACTAATATTTTTTCTCTGCTAAATAAAATTACATCACTGAACACATCATTTTAAATTTGAAGTCATTCTGCTATATAGTTATATCTTTTCAAAATGTAAACTGTAATTGTCTGTCAACATTCTGTATTAAGAATTTTAAGTAACAGTAACATAACTATGCATAACAGTAGCCCCTTGTTTTATTGTGTGTCATTATATCACTCATTTAGATGCAGCACATGTGCTTTTTATTTTTTCCTTATCTTTGTCTTTAAAATATAAAATCACTTTAGCCAATAATTTTTTAAAAATTGGTTGCTGTCATTGAATTTCTATTGGCAAATAAATATTAATTTATTCCAATCTTTGAAACTACTGTTGTATGAAATACAACCCATAAAAAGCAAGTCAGCATGGAGATTGAAAATAGAGTTAATTATCTATCCACTAATTTTTATAATGCCATCTAACATATTGCTCATTTGATTTGGCTTAATGCATGATATTGAGGAGCTACTGTACAATAAATATAAAAATTAAATCTTGTATAAAATAAGGGAATGAGTAAAAAATATCTGCATCTGACCCTAGAATTTATTTTAATCAAATTACAGAAAATACAAATAGATACTTTTTTGATATAATCACCCAGCTTTTCAACACACTGTCCAGCTGTCAACAAGCTTTCATGTTCCCTGATTAAAAAATATTTTTGGCTGATGCTATAACACCTTAAAATGAAGTTTTTGGAGTCTCAGCAGTGTGGGCAGCAGTGTCCAACACAACATTGAGGTGCTGGATCATCCTTCCTATAGTCTTGATCTTGGCCCATTAGGCTATCAAATGTTTGGTCCCCTAAAAGAAACTCTGAGGATGGAGATTTATATCTGATGAAGAGTTGAAGACAGTGGTGTATCTGTGGCTCAGTTCAGCAAAAAAACATTTTTTAATGAGAGAATTTGAAAGCTTGTTTGTTGACAGCTTGTCAGTGTATTATTCATCTTTATGGAGTTGTTTTACATAACTGCTTTTAATGAAATGGGACTCTGCATTGAAATTTAGATATAACTAATTATTGATTTCTCACCTATTCTGCTGCTTATATGTTACACACAAGCTTGAACATTCCATTTCTGGAAAAATAATGAGTGAAAATGTGATATTTTCCATTGAGATTTCCATGCAGACATGATTTAAGAGCAACAGTATCCACAAACATTCTCAAAATTTAGCTCTTAGCAAATGCAGTTTCTATAAAACGTATGCTTTCAACATCATTGGCTACACATATGATGCATTTTCAATTTACATTAAATTAAAAAAAATTCAATTCAATTCTTTATTGTATGAACCTTAGTTTGTTACAAGAGGGTTAAAGTATTACATAAAAAACTGAAGTTAGTATAATATAACAGCTTAGTACTACAGAGTAAGCACGATAATAATCATTTTTACACACATTATGTGAATCTGAGATCAGTAAAATTTAACAAATTAATTAAATAGCTTAGTACAGGATAACACAAAATAAAATGCACAAAAATAATAATTTTTTTGAAAAACATTATAACTTTCCAGGATTTAAATCTTCTCAAATATTTTTTCGTATTTGTTTCAAATTTGATACAGTGAAAGAACACATTCCCAAGTTTTATACGTTTGCATACTACAGTTAAAAGAAATTCATATCTGTTAGGATGACTGAAAAACTGATTAGTTTCATGCTGCATATCTTCGTGTTTGAGTTTTCTTTCTTTTTTTCTATTACTTGTATGTATTAATTTTAAAATCTATTTGAAATATAATAACTAAAAGAATAAAATAGAATAGACCAGGACTGTCCAACCTTTTTGTTTCTCTGGGCCACATTGGAAGATGTCTTCCAATGTGGCCCAGAGAAACAAAAAGGTTTGGGCCACAAGTATATATAATATACTTGTGGCCCAAAACTCCATGACATCTTCCAGTATACTTGTATATTTAAGGATTAATATGTCTAGATTATAGTAATAAGTGTTAAATTTTTATCATGAAAAAGAATATTTTAAAAAATTACTTTTACAGACACTTTCAATTTTTACTTAGAAATACAGTTGTACAGTACCTCAGGATACGAACTCTTCAGCATACAAAATTTTCAGGATACAACATGAAATTCAAACATATTTTTGCTTCATTGTATGAACAAAAATCACCATATGACATTACATTAGTTCGCAGCGCAACTGCCATGATCATGTGTTCCTTCTGTTCATCGGTCTCAGTCCATATGTTTCGTTATGGAAGGATCTCGCTCGATAAAGGAAATCTTGAGGTATTATCAGAAAGTGACTGATTTTATTGAAAAGAAACATCTCGAAAAGGTTTACACTGGCCGTATTGCTGCTCAGTTTAATGACATTTGCCTAAATCATTTTAGAAACATTTTAAAAAGTAGGCAAAGTCAAACCTCTTTGGATAGATATTTTACCAAGTGACCTCTATCCAGTGAAAGTGCTGGTGGAAGTGAAGGAAAGAAACCAAAAAGCAGTGAATAAAAAGTTTTAAAAAATATATAAAAACAGAAAAGATAAAAAAATTAGTGTTAAGTTATTTTTAAATTATTGTTACATTATGTTATGTAAGTTAAATTTTAGTATCATTTTCCTTCTCCTTCTCCACCACCGGTTTACACCTCCATCGTCCTCTATCCCCGAAGGTAAAGTGCAAATAAAACTACATTTTTTTTTTATCAGTTATTATTCTATTGTGGTTATTTATACATTTACAACTACAAAATGCTAGTGTTTCCCTTACTAAAGTTATTTTTTTTCAATGTACTACTTAGCTTTGAGTGCTTTTTTTGTGTTGGAATGGATTATTTGGTTTTACATGTAATCATATGGGGAAAAATTATTCACCTTATGACATTTTCACGATACGATCCCAGTTTAGGAATGGATTAATTTCGTATCCTGAGATACTACTATAGATAAATTCATTTATTATAAAGGAGACAAACAAAAACTTATTTGAAAAACACAAATATTTTTTATTTGGGTCTAAAATGACAAAACACCATTTTAAAGTGCATTTTTTTTCAACTAATATATTTATAAATGGCTACTTTTTGAGCTACATATTAATGTGCCAAATGATAGTTTTTACGCCAAACTAAAAAAAGGGGTAGCCAACTTTGGCACAAAGTACCCAAATCATGCAACACTGGAAGGAATACTAAATAAAGCTGGAGTTGGTACTCAAAAGATTATAGACCCAAATGCGGGGAAAGGAGACAAAGGACAAAAGATAAAGAAGTGAGGAAGGTTGGAAAATTAAGGGTCCATATTTGCATAACAGAAAGTCTATTTAACCTTTCTCACTACTTTTTATCTTTTGGCCTTTCTCTCCTTTCTCCGAATTTGGGTCTATAATTTTTTGAGTCAACTTTATTTAGTATTTCTTCCTCAGTCACACATTTCCAAATATTTGAAATATTTCCTTTCCACTCAAAAATAAAATATGTATAAAGGTTTACGGTGTTGTGAAGCTTCTTTTTTTGAGTTTATGCTGTTGAAATAAATAAATAAAATTAAAAATTTGTCAGGTTTGTTTATACGTTTATTTGGCAGCATTGGGCTGCATGTGGCCCACGGGCTGTGGATTAGACAGCCCTGGAATAGACTATTTTATTACTTACTTCTGCTTAGATTTCTGATATTTGATAAATTGATATAATATAACTATTTCTGTAAGTCTTCTCAAACAATATAAATTATGATTTTAATACATCAACTGTAACTTTTTCTGTAATAATAAATAAAACATATGTTATTTGTATTTGATAATGATCTATCAAAATATAAATAATTAATACTTTTTATTTAAATTACATTTAATCTGAAATTTCATTGATATCTGTTTTTAGATGCATTCTAATGTCAAGTTACAAATTTCTGCAACATTTTGCATATGTAACTTATCCTGGAATGAAGAAGAAGGTCAGTAATTAATTTCATAACATTAACGAATAAATTTATAGAATACTAAAAATAAATTTTTAATGCAGGAGCTTTAGAGAGACAGGCCAAATTAAGAGATTTGGGAGTTCAAAAGTTACTACAGCAATTGCTTACAACGACAGATACAACTTTATTTGATAAGTAAGTATTAAATTATATTATTTTTATTGTAATAAATTACAAAATTTATTATAAATCACTTACTTTACAGAGTGAAGACTGCTCTTCAACAATTTACCTGACTTGTATTTTTACCAACAATGTGTGTAAAATATTATCTTTTTTGTATATTAATTTTTTAATGATATTTTAATTCCTATTCATTCTAGAACTTTCATTTATCAAATAAAAAATATTTGAAATGAAATTTGTGTATTGTTTTTTATTACACAAATATTAAACCAATAACAAAATTTTAGTTATAAAGTTTATCAAGAGAGAAATAAATTTAAACATATTGAAATTCCACGGAAAATTTATAGAAAATAATTAATTTTAAAATTTAAAGTAGGATTTAAAAATTCTTTGATATGGTTTGATATATTAAATTTTATTTTAATAAAATTAAATATATTATAAATATTAAAAAAAAGTCAAGTTTTTCAAATAGTTTTAATTTTAAATTGTAATCTTTGTATTAAGAGGTTGTAAAGAAGAAAATTTTTAAAAATCATATATTGATTATTATACTCACAATTTTATTGAAAATTGATTAGCATTCCTAGTAGATAACTATTTTAAGATTAGATGATATACAATTAAATATTGCTTAAAAATTATCAAAGCTTTATATTTTGAAATGTAATTGCTATTAACTTATGAGATGAAAAATAGCACAAATAATGCAATTAATAATACAGTAGCCTCTTGTTATATTGCATAGGTTGGGTTACAAATCGATTATATCACAGGGGTGATATGTATATGTATGTATCTTTGTGTTTATCCATCTATTTTGTCTATTTTCAATCTCCATCCTGACTTGCCCTTTGGTTGGTTGTAAGCTTCAAGAATTGGAATAAGATATTTATTGCCAGTATAATTTCAATGGCAACCAAATTTTTTAAAAATTATAGGCTAAAGTGCTTTAAATTATGTTTGATGACTTGCTGGATTTTTAATTTTTACAGCTATGGCAAAAAATAGTTTTGAGAGTGGAAACGAATTTTATAGAAAACAATTTGTAAATGCTAACACTTAGTGATATCATAGTATACTTGCTTACTGGAGAATAAAATCAATAAAAATAAAAACCATTCAACTATCCAGCAAAATTCTTTAATAATTTAAAAACGTTTTCAAACGCATTAAGCGTTCATCGTCAGTTATTTCTCCATTTGAAATGTGAAATTTGAAAAATTATGCAATGGAAAATCTAAATAACAGTTATGTAAAAAAAAAAAAAATTAAAAGTTAACGCGTTACAAACAAAAGTGCTATATACAAATTTTCATGTGCTCAATAAACAATAATAATAATAAAATAATAACAAATAAATAAATAATTCTATCAACGATCATCCTAAGCCTGATTGGGCCTTTTATAAAAATCTATGCCAATTCGTCGCAAAAAGATTTCCAAGCGGACGAGTAAAGCATTTTTGTTAGAATCTCTCTCCCTCTCGGCATATAATCTTGTTTTCCATCTGCAATAATCTTGCTCAGTTAAATTCATATCCTTTATGAGCGTCTCCATGCTTTTGTGCTCTGAGAGATTTTTTATTTGCTAATGTTAATAATGCTACCAAATACCACATGCAGATTTTGGAATTAGCAGATTTGATTTGTCATACATCTTTCTTTGAATTCGAAAATAATACTTATCTACAGGGGCGGGGAGTACCGATGGGTAGCTCCATGTCGTCTGTCCTCTGCGAATTAGTACTTCGTAATCTAGAAAACAGTATCATCCCTTCCTTACAACAAGATATATTAATATATGCAAGATATGTTGATGATGTATTTATCTTGTGGAAGGATAATCGCAACATCAAGCATTTTGTAGATCAGATAAACAGTAACCCGTATGGTTTAACCTTGGAATTGGAACAACAAGGGAGTAATAGCGTTAATTTCTTGGATCTGACTATAACATGCATAAAAGGGGAAGTCCAAACCAATATTTATCATAAACCGACATCTATACCCATCATTATCCCCAAGAATTCAGCGGATCTGGAGCATATAAAAATGGCGGTGTTTCGATCTTGGATAAGGAGAGCACACACACATTGCATAAATGCTTGCGATACTGTTAAGGAGTTACAATTTATACGAAGAACTGCCGCGCAACATGGTTACGGGAGAAGAAGAATAGAGACTCTCATTAAGAAAGATAATAATCTTATAAGGAGGCAAAAACAAAACCACCAAAAAGAAAAAATGGTCCTCGATTATATACCTTTCCTTAAACCGATTATCAAGAGGGTATCCAAAAGTAAGAACTTGCAGATAGTTTATCGACGTAATCCCACTATATACAGAATGTTAAGGAATGACAAGGGGGATTACGAACGCAACTCCTTAACAGGAATATACTCGATACCGCTAAGGGACCACAGATTCAACTCTAACTTAGTATATATAGGCGCAACTTTGAGGAATTTGAAAAAAAGAATCAATGAGCATAAGCTTTCAGTGAACAAAACAGTTGACAGCACGGTCCTTGCTGCTTATGCTAAACAACAAGGCATTACTGTTTTCTGGGACCAGGCCTCTATAATAAAAGCCACCAGATCTAGACACACGGTAAAATATCTCGAAAAGTTGGAAATCCACAAGGCACAGAAGAGCGCGCAATGTATCAACTTTAGGGATGCCGATGGGCTTTCGTCCGCTTGGAAATCTTTTTGCAACGAATTGGCATAGATTTTTATAAAAGGCCCAATCAGGCTTAGGATGATCGTTGACAGATTTATTTATTTATTTGTTATTATTTTATTATTATTATTGTTTATTGAGCACACGAAAATTTGTATATAGCACTTTCGTTTGTAACGCGTTAACTTTTAATTTTTTTTTTTTTTTACATAACCGTTATTTAGATTTTCCATTGCGTAATTTTTCAAATTTCACATTTCAAATGGAGTAATAACTGACGATGAATGCTTAATGCGTTTGAAAACGTTTTTAAATTATTAAAGAATTTTGCTGGATAGTTGAATGGTTTTTATTTTTATTGACTTAGTGATATCTTTACTAAGTCGGACACCTCAAGATACGACCACTCCCTCTTCCTTTAACCACCAAAAGGTACCACTTCAAATTCATTTCTTTATCATTAAGGGTGACTGGATCCTATTCAGGTGTTACAGATGTCAAGAAAATTCGAAAAACTCCACGTGGCCAGACCGTCCTGGCAAGGCGCAAATCCACGACAAAACTCCCAGTGTTCAGGGACTGAAACTGCTTGGCCACTAGTGGGACGTCTTTATTTTTCTTCAAATAATGAACTGATAGAAAACTAGTGTCACAGTATATTAAAGCCATCAAGCTTGTGATATAGAAGACGCTGATCAAATAATAATAATTTCTTAATATGTTAGTATTTTTCTTTATTTTTTGTGAACGTCACAATATCCACAGATTTACACGGTGGCCACACTATCTATGCTGACACTTCAAACGCTCATAATTTCTGATCATTGCATCTTTAAAAATTCTGTTTTATCTAAAAGTTTGTTTTTGATGTAGAATCATAATATGCAGTAAAAAAATGGGAAACTTTACTAGACTAATTAAAGCTTCCCGTTACTTTATTGCATCAGTCAGATTTCGAACTGTATATCATACAGTTTCAAAAATGATTGTAGACATTTATGAGTGCTTTTACATTACGTTGGTGTGTATAAAGTCTTGTCCATGTTTTGACCCACTGCTGTTCTTCCAGACTGCATTACAGTGCTTTGGAACTCAAAATTTCTTTCATTGTCCAGTGTAATTTTTTATGTTTGTATATTCATTATTTTGTATTTTCTATACTTTTTAGAATTATATTGGTTAGATTCTAATGTTGTGTTATATTTTTTAAATAAGTATTGGTATATTTAGAAGGTCACA